AGCATATATGCCGTAGAAAACCAAATAGCGTCAAGTGTACAGTGTTGCTCTTTTACCTCAGCTGCCGGTAAATGGATGGAATTAATCACTAAGATTGCAACGTGTTATTCAAACGCAGATACTCCAAGAGTACGAATTCAAATCAAATGACAATTCCATCTGCAGCTGCTGGGACCGTGTTGACCCAATTTCCCGTGATGCAGTGTTTCGAACCAAGGTGACGTATTAACAGCAGATATGTGGGTGACTTCTTACCAAAGTTTAGTTGGCTGTGTTCACCCTACCGCGCTTGACTGTACAGGCACACAATGTAAGATGACAATATTTCTATGGGCCGGACCGTTGGTGTGAATAAAATCACTGCAAGTCAGCACTTGACCTTTCTGCCGAAGGCAAAGGCGCTTAATTTTCGACCAGACGGAGCTTAGAGTTGTTGGAACGTTGTTGAACGTTAATGAGCATAATTCAATTCTCGCTAGTTTAACAAGTGTTAAGATACTGGGTGATAAATATACGGTATCGAGAAAACGGAGTGACGGATACTTGTAGTATGTATATATAGACATTTGGATTGCGTTAAGCACTCTTAAATGCAGGCAAAAGTAAGGTGCACACTCAAACGTGTGACCGTTGTGTGTAAATTCGTCTGAAATTGCAGCAATGGATGCATTGACGATGTATGATAGATAAACTTGCAATCGCAGCTCCAGTGGATAGTGTTGGTTAAACCCAGTTTAATGCTTGTAACCCCAATAATTTGCGACGATACTGTTGGAAGCAGATCCGTAATAAGAAGCGCTTGTCAGGTGATTGAACTCGATACACCGCAATAAACTGCCGAATCTGACTGCAGTTTCTGATCTTAGGTATAAGGAACAGCAGTATAGGAATATACCAAAGAAACTTTGATTACTACACGTTCCTCTTCCTCATTTGACACAGCCTGTACGTGAGTAAGACATCGAACTACAATTTCTTAAAAGTAGGTTACGTTTACCATCAACTGCGTTTACCAGTTCCTACTCTATATTGGATTTGAAATACGTACCGGACAACCAGAAGAAAGACGCATTAGAACCGATCCATTGTTTGCATTTTGCCTTCGAGACACAACCTAATTTTGGCAAAACTGCTACCCCTGGGCAATATGTTGAGCCCGTCTTCTATTATCCTTATCCAGCCGAGCACTTAAGTGTTTGGTGCAGCGGTGTTGAAAACCATTTATCGGTGGCCTATAATCAGATCATTTCCTTTCACGTTTGATGAATGAACCACCTCAAACCGATATACTCTTTATCACTGTAGAATAATTTTTGTAAACTTACAGGTAAGTGTGTGACTGATCAGAATTCGAAGGCTTATAAACATATTGAACAAAACCTTCAGAAACTGTTTCGATCGAACGAGTTGAAGCATTTACACCTGCTTCGAATTTAAATATTATCGGCATTGTGCTTTTAACAATTTCGGTTAACATTATCTTATGTAAATTCGAAAGGAATAGAGTATTTGGGACTGCAACTGTACATCCTACCCAACATAGCGATAACTGCACTAGGAGAATTTTGATCGCGTTTGCTTCAGATCCTGTGGTCAACTGCTGCTTTAATCAATACTTTTAATGGACTGCATCGATCACTTTATACGGCATTAACCTGAGCAGTCAAGGGTAAACAAATGTGGATATATTCAGCCAAAATCAAACACATTCTTCACTTTGTTGTAGACTGGAAATCTACGATCCACTTTTTGTTGTCGTCTATCTTTATTCCTGGTGTATGACCATAAGTGCTCAATATAGAATAGCGCGAAATTAGCAGCCGGTGTTCATCACCGTAAACCGGACGAAGGTTGGTGAATATGCTTTGTCTTTGTGGCAGTTGTGCCTTTTGTGTGAGCTGAAATGGGATGTATCCTATCCACCAGGTCGATGCGTTATACCTAACCACGTTGATCTTGTAGGATATGGTTGCTTTGTTTAGTCATTGATGCGATCAGCTTTCCTGTTTTCTTTGAGCCTGAAGCGATAAATTTTGGCTCGATATCTTCTTTTGATTACAAATGGATGGATAAACTATACCGATTGTTCGACTAGATTAAAGTCGGCTCGCCAAAGAAGTTGTTGAAGCGTGTTAGCTTGCTTGATAATATAAATATGGTGTTAAGAACTGTCATCATTTGGTCCAAGTTGTATTGTTCCAAATTTACCAAATCTTAAATGTGGTTCAATTTCTTAAATCAACAGATAACTGGCCTACGCATCTTACCAGACTAAAGTGGTGCTAGATTTCAGTCTCGGACAAAGGAAAACAGCTGTTTTCGCCATCTTCAGGAAGCATTGCAGCAACAGGAAAATGGTGTTAGTACGCGGAGCGCATAGAAAGGACGTGCGGAAAGAGGGATGTGCTACAATTTACAGCTACATGGTTAGCAGCATTCGGTTCCGGATTTCCCCGTCAAGATGGCCTCCATAGTACATCCACAGGACGTCTGTTCCTACAGAGGAACCATGTGTGGCTTGCGCTGCACCATCCTCAGCTCCACCCACACACCCATATCCAGTGTAAACCCAAAGAAATAACAGAGCCGGCCCACACTCTTTCAACATGCACAGCATCAGCATTCCTATCTATATATGTTGGGAATCATGCATACCAGACATACACTGGGCGGTGGCTGGGCCGTAGTCCGCTCCACAATGATGGAAACACTCTTTGAGCCTAGAACGGCTAAGAGGTCCGTGCACCCCGTCCCAGGCAAGGTTTCAAAATCTCCCGGAGCCAATAATCGAGGTGGAGGGTGTTAGACAGGTAGGCACTTTGTCAGCATTCACCTCAAGCGCAGCTAAACCGGGGATATCAAACAGCCAACATAATTTAAGGGAAACCAAACACGCAAAAATGACACGAAATATACTGCAGTGTAAGCGAATTGTACAAACCAACTAACAAGGAATGACTTTTAGCCAGCTTATAAAGAAATAGGTTAAGTGAAAGTTGGTTTAGCCCAACTGCGGTGAAGATGCATCATGCATGCAACATCAGCCTCAGCATGAAGCACTACAGCTTTATACATGTCAAACTAAACTCTCCAGTAAAGGACAGCTGCTATTACGAATTGATCTGTAAGGTCAGGGAACGAAACTTGTCGCAGCCCTCATGAGTTATAATGCTTGATTGAAGACACCCACTGCGTAGCCGAATAGGGAGCGGCATGTCCATGCAGGTGACCGTCATATTGGGAGCAACATTTGTATTTCTGCTTATTTCCGTCGTATCAGAAGTATGGACACTGTTACGGTTACTTACCCGATGGGTCGCAGCAAAGTATCGGATTCCTTTGCATTTGACTGCCTTAGGTGAACTGATTGGTGGAGAGTAATCAGAGCACGTAGCATGTAGACACTGCAAGTTCTCTTCCCAGGGTTATACCATGGGTGCGCTAGTATTTGTACTAATTTTGCCCATATGACACAGACCATACACGAGTAACACATCAACCGACAAATTAACGACAGCTAACTAGCGTTTTAGCTAACTTGGCAGTCTTGATTTACACATTTCCTTTCAAACAAAGTGCACTAATCCACAGAGTGAGTTTTACTTCTAGCTCAGGTCATCTTCAACTGAGGAGTGCAAATGAGGTCGAAACCAGTCGCGTGGTGTTCTCACTGAGAGAAGCGACATCAAAACACTTCTACAGCCATTAGCAGTTCATGCGAAATTAAAAACCAAGTGGATAGGCTTGTGGAATCCCACAGGCAGTGTGCTTATCTTATACAATTGCTTACAGACCTGCGACTGATGTCACATCCATCGTCGGTTTTGCTTGTTGAATTCGTTCCCAACTAGAGATAGGTAAAATTTCACGCTTACCTATCTCACACGTTGATATTTCAGGCGTAGTAGTAAATGACAAGGCTACACGCAAACAGGCACCTGCTACTTTCTTACACCTGCATAACTTGTGTGGTGAGGGGGCTACTCTGTCCTCTGCACGGCAGTAACGTGTAAGTCAGTGGATAGTGAGCGGCGCTACAGCACATCTAGTAACTTATTCACGATGGTCGTTGCCGTCCCCCGTAGCTCAGTGGTCTCAACCACGGACTGGCATATCACATCTAGTAACTTATTCACGATGGTCGTTGCCGTCCCCCGTAGCTCAGTGGTCTCAACCACGGACTGGCAACAGTCGAGTTGCGGTTTCGAGCCCTACCAAGGGTCCGATGGAATGCGCACTGCTGATGATTTCCGAAAGGATGAAACGCGCGTACAGTGCTTTTCCGGGCTTGTGGCGGCTGTCTGGGTGAGCCTAGATGTGACGAAATTCTACCTATACCATTCAACTCCCCCTACTACTCTTCTGCAATCAGTACACAGAACAAACTGCTTATAATGCCATAAGATAATTGGCGGCTTAAGTTTGTTAAGCTCGTCGCTTGGTGAGGGGGCTACCCTGTCCTATGCACGGCAGTAACGTGTAAGTCAGTGGATAGTGAGCGGCGCTATATCACATCTAGTAACTTATTCACGATGGTCGTTGCCGTCCCCCGTAGCTCAGTGGTCTCAACCACGGACTGGCAACAGTCGAGTTGCGGTTTCGAGCCCTACCAGGGTCCGATGGAATGCGCACTGCTGATGATTCCCGAAAGGATGAAACGCACGTACAGTACTTTTCTGGGCGTGTGGCGGCTGTCTGAGTGAGTCTAGATGTGACGAAATTCTACCTATACCATTCAACTCCCCCTACTACTCTTCTGTAAAATAAATATTTCTTGAATTAGGACGGCACAATACTATGTTCAGCATAGGGGTTTGATTGATTTGAGCACAGCTTTTGTACGCTAGACCTACATTTGTTGTTATTTCTATCACTTACTGCATTCTACCTTGGCTTTTTCCATCACATGCGATATAGGATACAAGCTGTAAGCAATTAATAGATCAAGCAAAACTGCTTCGTACCAATTCGTAGTGCGTCTCAAGGCATAAAACACTCACTTTGTCGGCCATTTTAATGGGTAAAGTGGTCGCACGTGTCCCCAGTGTTGTGAGTCCGCTGGTAGTTGCTGATTTTCGAGGACTAAACTTCGCTTTTGGCCCGTCCACCCACAATTCCTCTTGTGTGCTTAGCATTTCCACAGCATTCTTGGCGGCAGCCCGCCGCCAGACATGTGCGTTTGTTCGCGGTGTGATTCGCTTTGCATCGGTTGTTGTGGTGTTTTTACTCAAAGTTGGCTCCTTTCTTTTGACAGCATAAAAGCATTCATTGTTCGTGTGATCTACTCCATCACCCAAAGTGGTTGCGGGTTTTTCGATCTGTTCACGATGGATGTCCTAAATTTGCATGGGTAAAAATAAATATATACTTGACCAGACATTCGATGTTATGTGATTGTGAAAGTTGGCGAAATAGAAAACTAAAGCAATGGGCTTTTCGGCTATTAATGGAGATGCGGCACAAATGAAGTTCATCCGAGTTAATTTGCAGTTGGGAACCAGTCAAATTTCGATTAGTTCTCTGTTCTTTTTAAATTTTTCGGTGAGTATCAAATTGGAAAGTAACTAGTAGTAAGCATCAGCTAAGCTAACATTGCACAGGGGCAACCTCGTCCGCCGAACTTTGAACAAGTAAGAGTTGGTCACTTTGAAGGTACATGATGCGCGGTGTTTAACAAATTTAACTGGTACGATTTGATGAACCTTACAGAAATCGACTAATGAGAACTATACAATTCAGATTGCAATTTAGATTCACTTTCATTTTATGTAACTTCCAGTTTGCTTCCGGTAATGATTGGTTAGTATTAGTATGAAAGCATAAGCTTGGTTAACATCCGGAAAATAGACGATTTAGGGATTCTTAATCAACATTTCATTACAAACGGTGCATCGAAGTACAATCCTGTACTTTATGTTACCAAGTTTTCGTGGGCTTTAACTTAGCGACAATGGAACTCAGTCAGGTAGCAGTTTGATTATTAGTTGCCAGAAAAATTCGAAATTGTAAGTAACGCATGTGGTGCAATGAGAAGACAACCGTCTTCATGTATCGAAAAATCTGTTTTGTGACATCTATTATTGTTTATCTTCGTCAAAAAAACGTTTGTCAGTATTGCTCTGTAGTGGAACGTACCGTTGGTATATCTGATTTGTTACTTTAACATGCCTCCCACGAGGAATGGTGTGAACAAGCACACAAAAATATGCATGGGAAGATACTCCTCACTACTAGCTCAATAGATGTATCAGATTATTCCTGACCAACCTGGAACGGTTGTGTGACGATGTACTGTTAGGTACCTCTCTTGTCCGCTCATTTGTGAGTAGAGCTTTTCTATAATGTTGCATTTTGAGTTGAATGAACGCTTATTTACTGTAAGCATAAGTACAGTTAAGCACAGATAATTTTCATCTTCTATGGCCAAGAGCAGGAGCAATGAATCAAGTGATTCTCAAGCCATTTTGCTTAAAGGATTAACTGAAGTTCTTTAACTTGCATTATCTATACGTCTTTCTGCTGGGATTTCGTGTGTTACGACACGGTTTTTCCACTTCAAGGTAAAACTATCAAACGCTGAGTTCTCTCATTTTCCAGCGTCTTTTCTTCTGGATGATATGTTAGCTGAATTCACAGTATGTGGCGTGACGTCAGAAATTGGAACCGACATTTCCATGAAATATTCAGTTTATCTTTCAATGCTGGTCATATATGGACTAAATTTTCATCGTTCAGGTGCCATAACATTTGCACACTGCTTTTTGTGCTGAACCTGTGTTTTATTAGACAAAATGAGGCGTGCATATTAAAGGAAAGTGGCAGATCACTTGGCTGAAATTCATCAGTGTTTCGAGTCTAAATCACATGCGTTATCTGTTTACTGCTCGAATCAGATGAGTATACCTTCTGATATCTTAGGGATCGTTTTCGAAACGCTGTTCACCCGAAACTTACACAGGTTACCTATTTGTTTATGCTGGCTCCATGCACTGCTATCTGCAGTGGCAATGGTTATTGCCTTGCACGCAACTAGGAGTATAAACACAGTGCACATTTGCACTGGTATATTCAGAATCCTAATAATTGGCACAAAATTCTCAAATGTGTTTCTCTGTATTGTACTTTTCCAGTTAAGCCATTGGCCAGATTTAGCTCAAATGCAAAACAAAAGTGTTGAGCTGATCCATAGAGCCGTTGACATGTACCCGATCAAACTCTTGTGCCTGGGTTACACATTTAAACGCAACAAGTACGCTTACCACGGTACTCAGATGTGATTATTTCAAGACGACAAGCGAAACACTCACGGGGTTGGGTTCCTCTGCCAAACTACTGGTGGCTCTGTTCAATGAAGCTCGCGAGGTGTCAAGCGCTCCGCCATCACGCTGACTAGAGCGGCTTCCACGGCGACCTAGGTAGATCACTGTGTCACATGACTGTTCACTGCTGGAAGTGTATTCCAACTCGCTGGGAGCAATACGCCTTCCTGTGCGCAGTTTTGATAATCCAGCACCTACGTGGTAGCCTCGACTTCCCAAAGGCAACCGAAGTCGACTTGCTCGGCGCAGTCCAAAACTGTCACACGATGAACTGTCCTCGGAACTGGCGGCGGCTGGGATTGGCAACCCAATGCGATGCTGACGCTTGTGATATCGCTGAACCTTTTGCGAGAACTGTAGCAGCTGGAATGTAACAGCATGAAACGAGTTTTGGAGGTTGATAACTCATGCCACAACTAATTATATGATTGCAACTGTGCAAAGAATATAGTGACCAACGCTATGGACTTTATAACATAGCAACTCATAGCAACTCAAATATAATGCCGAAGAAATAAAATTACTCACAATACCTCGTAGCTGCCTGTCTTTTGTGCAGTATGCAATTGGGTACCGATAATGTCATCTCGATAAAAGGAAAATGGAAGCGGAATGATGCACAATGATGGATTGTCTGTGTAAATCAAGAAGTCAACTGCTTCGTGAATTCGCTAATATAAAGTATTTGTTCGCAATATATGAGGATGTTAAATGACACGTGCTGCCCAAATTTACACGAAGTTTGATTAGGTCGATAAAATTTGACCTGTTTATCTTGGAAAAAGTTCAACGGTAATAACCTTGTCTTCCACATATTAAATGATGCGTGCTAATGCTGCTAAACTGTTGAACGACTGAGCCCTGATTCCGTGGTAAAGCGATAGATGTGGGTTGATCAAAAAGATTGATGAATGTGTGCGAGTAAGAAAACGAGTTTGTACTAAGGTCCTGTCAAGCAGGTTGCTATGCAATTAGACAATGCACCCTCCAGAGGGTAATTACACTATGAAACATCCTTTGTATAACAGAAACGTGGTAGCATGTTTCTAGTATTACCAATTGAGCTGATTACGAGCAGGTAAACCAAATGTTTCTAATATGTCAGGTTTATAATATCAATTTTTAATTTCAATTCAATAGTTCAATAGTGTATGGTGGGATAAAAAGCAATAACTTTACAAGACCCACAGGATGGCAAATGGAAGAAAACAAAAGTTTCAGGTGTGACACAAAAATATCAGTAAGTTAGACACTGCAGTTTGTCATATAATGTGTATCATGTAAGTGCAAGTCCAATAGTCTTCCGAATGTCTCGATGTTTGGTGCGTTCACCACATGCGATGGCAGTGCGTTCCAGTGCGGACAGACACTAAGAGAGTAAAAAAACTTTCTGCAATCTAAACGGGAATATTGAGTCACAAGTTTTAGTGCATGGCCGCGGCATCGTTTGTCGGCAGATAATGTTAACAGCGACTTACATGGATGGTCCTCTTCTCTTAGTATCCGGTAAGTTAGGATCAGATCACCGCGAAGTCGTCGGTATTCTAAGGAGTACAGACCGTTCGAACGAAGGCGCAGTTCATAACTAAGGCCCGATGGACCACGTGTTGCCTTAGTGGCTCTTCTTTGTTGTTGCTCCAGGAGACGAATGTCCCGTTTTAACCACGGACGCCATGCCTGCACCGCATACTCGAGATGGGGACGAATGTAGGCGTTAATCAATAATGGCACGAGTTGCCGCTCGAACGTACCGAGCGCTCGCCTCAAAAGCCTCAAGTTTAAGTTCGCTATGTTAGCTGCCTTTGAACATTGGAGCGAATTACCCAGACCTTCTTGCACGATGACCCCTAAGTCTCTTTCGTTGCTCACCTGTTTTATAACGCGCTGCCCCAGGTGATATGTGTTGCTGCAGTTACTGCGCAGCGACAACAGGTGACACTTTTCGGGGTTCAGGAGTAGTTGGTTGTTTACTGCCCATTCGTGAATCCGGTTCAGGTCATCCTGCAGATAGACAGGGTCAGATGTTGACTGAATAGCAGTGCATTCCACGCATCGAATGTCCGTCTGTGATTAGTCGATTGACTCCCCGTTTTCGGGAATAAGAAGTCTTCTTGACCATGGTATCCGCCTGATACTCAAAGTCGGTTAAGACCTGCGTTTACTTAATTGATATCTTGATCCCGGCTGAGAGACGCTGTAGTGTCCATGGCCGAAAACATTTTTGTTACATCGGTGGACAGTATACTACAAAGTATCCGTGCAGACCCATTTCTTCATGACTGATGTCCACCTACCACACATATTTTTGGCTGAACCTGGGAGAAAAGGATAGGTAGTGGGCACCACATATTGTTTGTTTGTCATGCAATCTTTACTGGACTCAGTGGCTCAAGGGCAAAGGCAGGATGACCTTTGCAATCCCCGTGGTGTAGAGAGAGCCAACAAATCACGCGACAGACTGCGACTTCTGCCTAACCAAAGTTATTGGAATCTCCGAACAAAACAAAGACAAAATTCATCACCAGGATCTTTCATTATCTATTCGACCTGCTCGTGATTCCACCTTACCCACTCCAGTGCCTTCAATGAATGTGCAACTGATGATAAGTTGGGATTCTGCATCGTCAGCTTCCCCTGGTTTTGAGCTATGTAAAAACTGCGAAGCTTTTGTTGTCAACCCACAACTTATTGAACAAACAGAATTGCATTAATTGGTATGTGATCTGGGTTTGCCTAAAGAGAAGGTCAAATTGCTGAAATCTCGGCTACAGCAGTGGCACTTGCTGCAAACACTAAGTCTACCATATACAGTAAGGGAACGGTTGCTCTGACACGAGATAAACCTTTTGTTACACTTCCGACGTGGAAGGACCGATGAAGGAGTTTGGCGTGAAGCATATCATTGATGAATGGCGTTTGTTCATTGACTCGTCCAAGAGTACTCTTAAGGCAGCACTGCTCCACAATAGAAATGCGTACCCAACTTTGTTGTATGTAGCCAATATGAAGGAGGTGTAAGCAAGAATGCAACAGTTACTCGCTGCACGGAACTTCGAGAACCGCTGTTGGCACATCTGTGTTGGTTTCGAATTCATTGTACTCCCAACGGGTGTACAAGGAGACTTCACAAACTATTGCTGTTTCTTGTGTGTGTGTGTGGGTCAGTACAGCAACGCAACAGTAGTACACAAAGGCAAAGTGGCCACTGAGAATGGGCTATGCTGCAGGGAAAATGAGTGTAAAGGATATACCTCTTGAGCAACCTGATCACATCAATCTACCACACCTGCACACGAAGCTTGATTTGAGTAAAAACATCGTTAAAGCACTCAAGCGAGATGGGTTTTGAACTCCAGTACCTGAAAAAAGTGTTTCCAAAGAGTAGTGATGCGAAGCTCAACGAAGGGATACTCGTTGGGCCTGATGTTCGTCGGAGAATGGCAGGCAGTGATTTCGAATGACAGTTGACTTCTTTTGTGTTCGAAGCATGTGTACAAAATTCTTGAGCAGAACAAATACAGCAAACTACAATCACAAAAATGGTCATTGCATACTATCGGGATGTTGGTGCTCGAATGTTACCCAAGCCGCACTTTTGTATAGTCACCTTAACTTTTTCCCTGAGAACTTTGGATCTGTTAGCAATGAGTGTGGTGAGCGCTTTCACCACGACATTTTAATCATGGAGTTGCGCTACAGTGGCAAGTACACGCCTTCTATGAGTGACGTTTGTTGGTTTCTGCAGAGTGAGGTCGCCTGATCACAAAAACGAAGGTCTTGGAGAAGTTATCATTTCCTAGTACCAAGCTGCAGTCATTATTTAGCGGCGAGTGCTACAATGATGTTTTAAGCTGATTTGCCACATACATGCATTATGTATAGGTTGTGATTCAGTACATTTACATATAATTCGTACGACGTAGTTGCACAGTGTTATTATCACTGGGTACTTTAGAAGCAAGCTCTGTACTAAGCGGCATGAGAAGAATAATAAAGCCAATAATGTTATCGTTGGAAGGGCTTTGCTCATTTACACGGGACGAACGAAGTATAATTAGATCTTAATGTATTAGTGATAGTTCACGAGTTTTAGACTTTAGTGTAATATCCTCCATAAAGGTTAATCAAATGAATAATGAGGTAGTATTGGTGTAACGGATTCTTGAAACCCATTATTTCCAAAGTCCAGAAAGGTGGATACTTTATATATATATATATATATATATATATATATATATATCAGCGGGGGAGTCTATGGTGCGCTGAGGCTGGTGGTGGCTAGATCCTGATAGATGGTCTACCCACTGCTGCTACTGTTGTGCCATTTGCTCATGTCCTGCGCGCCTCCTCGTGGCGACCGCTGGGTGGCATTTGGGTTTCGCCCTTCTCCCTGCTAATATCCAGGACATCAAACCGCATGAGTCGATGAACTGACCACGTGCTAGACCCCCTGGCTTTCGGGTGTTCATGTAATCGAAGGCTTTGGCTGAGGACCCGAGGCGTTCTCCTGTCAGATGTGGGCGTCTTGCCAGTATATTAGTCCATCCTCTTCGGAGGTTAGGAAGTGATCGATGGCTCTCTTCCCGTAAAACCTAGGCATATGGCACAACAGATCTACCGGTTAAAAGCTCACAGCTCAATTAGCGTAGAGCACGAGTGCCACGCATTGTCTCTGTCGGTGGTAGGGCACCTCTGGGTGTCCAATGGTTTGCTACTGCGCGCCTCAAGCCAGGCAGCCCCTGGTCAAATTGATGCAAACCCGCCAAAACCCACTTGCCTCTGGCCGTGGTCGCATGTGTATCCTATTACGGTCGCAAAACATATATAAATCGTGCCAGTACCTCCAAGGCTGCGTGTGACGGCCGTCTAGCAGATCTCAATCTGTCTCTGCAATCACATTCCAGAGCTGGATCTGCTCTCCACTGCCTTGTGGGTCAGGCTGTTGAGCCAAAGGCTCCGGGCGGAGTCCTTCAAGCAAACCTCCAAACCATCTACTGCCTTGTGGGTCAGACTCTTGAGCCAAAGGCTTCCGGTGGAGTCCCTCAAACAAATCTCCGAAGCACCACCGCCACCTCGCGTGCGGTGGCCCACCGATGCAATCGTATGCCTGCGCGCAAAGCATTTGGCATCGGGTGTTGGAACGTGCGCACACTACTGGACCGGAAATCCGGCTAGCGCCCGGAGCGACGCACTGCACGCGTTGCGATGGAACTGGCGCGCTGCAACATCGATATTGTGGCGCTCAGTGAAACCCGCCTCGCTGAGCAAGGTAATTTTGCATGAAACTGGTGCTGGCTACACATTCTACTGGGTGGGCAACGCCGTCTCAGCACCACGTGATCATGGTTTCAGATTTACAATAT